ACAACTATGCATAGTCAAGTAAAGCAAATTCTGACATTGGTCATGTCCAAAGAATATATGCCTCAATCTGTACCCTAAGTCCATCATCTTTATCAGGAAATTTCATCATGAATCTTCTGGAATTATAGTTGGTCATTGTGTTGATCAGAGTTCTTAAGTGTTTCAAAGTTTTTTGTCTTTATACTGTTGTTGTTTTTATATAAATAATTCTCTTGTTTCTGTTCGCTTCACTCTGCATCAATTCAGACAAGTTGTCCCAAGTTTTTGTGAAACCATTCCCTTCATCATTCTTATAACATGATAGTATTCCATTACATTCATATACCATAATTTGTTCAGCCATTCTCTAACTGATAAGTACTTGCTTAATTTCCAGTTTAATACAAAGAGAGGTACACATGGGTCCATTTCCTCTTTCTTTGATTTCTTTGAGGATATAGAATTTGTTGTGGTATCACTGAGTCAGAGTGTGCACAATTTAATAACTTTGGGGGCATAGTTCTACATTGCTTTCCAGAGTAGGTAGTTCTGTTCAAAGTTCCACCAACAATTATTAATGTAACTGTTTTCCCATAGCCTGTCCAACATTTGTCATTTTTCTTTTATTGTCAACTTTGCCATTCTGATGGGTATGAGATAGAACCTCAAAGTTGCCGTAATTTACATTTCTGTAGTTATTAGTGACTTGGAGCATTTTTCAAATGGCTATTGATAGCTCGGATTATTTTCCTAAGAAAACTGCCTGCCATCCTTTGACCATTTATCAATTGGAAAATGGTTGTTTTTTGTAAATACGTCTATCGTGAGCACTGCAGTATACATGATCAAACATTCTTTGAAATGATGTTTATTTGCCTTTAGATACATGGTAAAATCAACTCTGCCATATCCTTTATTTACCTGTCCCAGGAGAACCTGTACTGCCCAGAACAGCCCAGTTGTTGCTGAGGGAAGCTGTACAGCATTAAGCAAATCCACTTTCCTGATCAGAGGGCTGGCAAAATCTTTTGTAACTCCTTCTTATAAATGTGATAACAGTCTTAAGACATAAAGCTGGAAGTGATATCAGAGGCTGTCTTGTATAATCCCTTTGTTTTCCAGATTTGAAAACTGAATTCCAGAGATATTAAGTGACTTGCCCAAGGTAAAGCAAGTTGTAAGTGGAGAATTCAGAATTTCAGTCCATGTTTTCTGAATCCTAATCCAGCCCTCATTTAATCGAACCATGCTATATTGTTTTAACTTTGATCCCTTTATCTGCCCCTATGGACTATCCAATAATTTCTTCAGAGGACAGTGTCCTAGAAGATCATTTGAGGTGCTTTTTGTTTTGTTTTATTTTTGCCCTGTGTTGGCTGCTGAGACCCAACTGAGGTAATATTTTTTTTCTCACTAAGCATTCAATTCATTTTAACTCAACAGACATTTATTAAGTACCTAATACTGTGCTATGTACTGGGAAAATAAAGAAAAAAATTAAATTAAAAAAATCAAAAGCCGTTCATGCTTTCAAAATAAAATAACCTTAAGAAATAGAGCCCTAACAACCATGGGGGAAGGAGAGAAGTGGAGGAAAAGACCTTAGAATCAGGAGAGGCTTATGTCAGAAGTGGTACCTGAGCTCAAAGAACAGAATAAGAGGTTAGGAGTATATACATTAGCTTGACAAAATTTAGTATAATTGTTATTTTAATACACCATACAGCATATACTTCATTTTCACACATAGTGCAGTACCATGAAGCAAACCTACAAAAGCAATATATGTGGTAGGTCTAAGCCTTCCAATATCCTTTCCCACCAAGCATTAATATTAGTTTGACATTTAACCCTCACAGCAAGTTCTGCCCAAAGCAAACCGCCATATGTACAATACAGAGTACCTGCAGAACATCTCTACCCACAGTGACACCCCAAACTCAACATGTTCCAAACTGAGTATATTATCTTTCCTCCTAAACTTCATCCTTCTGTCTTCATTATGTCTATCTGGGGTAGACATCCTTTACCCAGTCTCATTTGTCCAAAAGTTTTGACTTTTAACCTCTCCCTCATCTCTCATACCCATTCAGTTGCCAAATCCTATGGATTTCATTCCTATAATATTTATCATATCCATTTCCCCCTCTCTGTTCTCAGTGCCACCATTACCACTTACCCAGACTGTAGTAATTTCACAGCAGGTCTTGCCTCCATTTCATCTACTACAAAACTAATTCTTCATGCATAGGTCAAGTCATGCTATTTATCTGCTAAAAAAAAAATTTCAGTGTCTCTTTTGCCTTTGAAGTAATATCTAAAGTCTGTCATTCAAAGCCTTCTACAATCTGGCACCACCCTACCTTTCCAGCTTTTTCTCATATTACTCCCCTTCTACTCTCCACTCTAGTCTAAGTAGACTACTCTATATCCTAAGTGCTTATTCTACAGTTATTATTAATAGTAAATAAATGCCTCCTCTGTACTTTTGATTACTTTCCCTGTGACTAGAACTTTCTCTGTCTCGCTCTATGATTTCATACACATTCAATAAAACCACCTTTCTTCCCTTCTCCCCTCCCCCACCAGACAGTAATCACCTTCTTGACTAAGGGAGCACCTTTTTTTTGCACTTCTTTAAAGATACTTATTATATATTATTTTGTATTATCTAATATGTGTCATTTCCCCTTACTACAGTTAGCTTCATAAGGGCAAGGACTATATGTGTAAATTTTCTATTTCTGTTTATATTCTAATATTCTCCCCAGTATAGTAGAGTGAACTATGTCAGTTAAGGGATTAATGTTTGTTTAATTGAATTAAATTAACTGGTTTTTAGTTCCCTGATTCAAAATTCAATAAAAGTAGTTTTAAATTAGCTTTAAGCATGTAATAGAGATGTTGTAATTGAATACTTTAAGGACCCATTTTTTCCTCTGTGTATTCACTCCATTGATATAGATCATGGCACCACTCCCTTTCTTACCTCTCAACTCTTTTTTTAATTTGATATTTTATTTTCCCCCAATTACAAGCAAAAACACTTTTTAACATCAAATTCTCTCCTTCCATCCCTTCCCTCTCCCCTCATTGAGAAGGCAAGCAATTTGATATATTATACATGTGCAGTCATGCAAAACATATTTCCATGTTAGTCCTGTTGTGAAGGAAAACACAGATGAAAAAAAGAAAAGAGAATAAAGAAATAGTATGCTTCAATCTGCATTCAGATTCCATCAGTTTTTTCTTTGGAGATGGATAGCATTTTTCATCATAAGTCCTTCAGAATTGTCTTGGATCATTGTATTGCTGAGAATAGCTAAGTCATTCACAATTGATCATCATATAATATTGCTATTATTGTATACAATGGTCTCCTGGTTCTGCTCATTTCACTTTGCATCAGTTCAGTAACTTTAGGTTTTTCTGAAATCATCCTGCTCATCATTTCTTATAGCACAACAGTATTCCATCACAATCATATAACTTGTTCAGACATTCCCTAAATTGATGGATATGCTCTCAATTTCCAATTCTTTGCCACCACAGATAGAGCTCCTGTAAATGTTTTTGTATATATAGGTCTTTCTCTTTTTGTTTTTATCTCTTTGGGATACAGACCTAGTAGTCGTATTGCATGGTCAAAGTGTATACATGATTTTATAGCCCTTTGGGCATTGTTCCAAATTGCTCTACATAATGGTTGGATCGATATACCACTTCACCATTAGTGCATTAGTTGTCTCAATTTTCCCACATCCCCTCCAACATTTGTCACTTTCCTTTTCTGTCATGTAGGTGTGGGGTAGTAGCTCAGAATTGTTTTAATTTGCATTTCTCTAATCAATAGTAATTTAGAGCATTTTTTTCATGACCATAGATAGCTCTGATTTCTTCACCTGAAAATTGCCTGTTCATATCCTTTGACTATTTATCAGTTGAGCAATGACTCTTATTTCTACAAGTTTGACTCAGTTTTTTATATATTTGAGAAATGAGGTCTTTATCAAATAAACTTGCTGCAAAACTTTTTTCACAGTTGATTACTATGTATTTCCCTCCATCCTATTCTCCCCATTTATCCTACTCTCTCCCTCCTTTCACCCTGTCCATTTTCAAAAGTGTTTTACTTCGGGGCAGCTAGGTGGCACAGTGGAGAGAGCACCAGTCCTGAAGTCAGGAGGACCTGAGTTCAAATCCATCCTCAGATCAAACACTTGACACTTACTAGCTGTGTGACCCTGGGCAAGGCACTTAACCCCGATTGCCTCACCAAAAAAAAAAAGTGTTTTACTTCTGACTTTTACCTCCCCCAGTCTACCTTCCCTTCTATTTATAGCAGCTCTTTTTGTGGTGGCAAAGAATTGGAAATTGAGGGGATGCCCGTGAATTGGGGAATAATTGGCTGAATAAGTTGTGGTATATTAATGTAATGGAATACTATTGTGCTATAAGAAATTATGAGCAGGCGGACTTCAGAAAAACCCGGAAAGACTTATATGAACTGATGCTGAGTGAGGAGAGCATTATACACAGTAATAGCCACATTGTGCGATGACTAACTTTGATAGACTTGGCTCTTCTCAGCAATGCAAGGATCTACGACAACTCCAAAAGACTCACGATGGAAAATGATATCCACCTCCAGAGAAAGAACTATGGAGTCTGAATGCAGATGGAAAAATACTATTTGCTGTCTTTTTTCCTTTGTTCTTTTATTGCTTCATTCTCGTGGTTCCTCCCATTAGTTCTAATTGTTCTTTACATTGTGACATACAAAATATGCTTAACGTGAATGTATAAGTTGAACCTATATCAGATTGCACGCTGTCTTGGGGAGAGGAAAGAAAAGAGGGGGGAAAGGAGAGAAAAGAAGGGGGAGAAAATTTAAAATTCAAAATCTTATGGAAGTGAATGTTGAAAACTAAAAATAAATAATTTTTTTTAAAAAAATAGACTCTATCTTCTACTTGTATCTTCATTTACTGTGAGTTATTCATTGTGATTTTCTTTTATAGATCATTCCCGAGAAGTCTTGGAGCGGTTAGTGGGCCCAAACAAAATCAAACAAGTGACGTGGACTGTTTATTGATGCTTATTAAAATACAATGATTTCTGCCATTTTTCTTGGAAATGATTGTGGAGATTGACTTTCCATTTTTATTTAAGCATGCCATATTGATTTATTCTTTTTTTTAAACTGTCAGTCTCAAAATGACTAGTTATATCTGCAGATATGCTAAATTTTTGCTTTGATGGTAAAACTAAACTCCAAAATGCAAATAATACTGTTCCCATTTCTGTGTTTCTTTAGGGAGTCACTATTTTTTAAACGTTATCATTGTTGTGACTATGACCTTTCTCATTTGTTGGGATTTTGTGTTTTTTTACACATTAAAACCCATGTGAAATATGTACAGATTTAAAATGACATTTTCCCTGCTGCTTCTCTTTCTTACCTAAATAACTGATGAATGACCACTAGGAGAATAAATTAAACTAATTTACTTAATTAAATCTTTCCTAATTCCCACCTTTCTAATGGTAAGGGTCTACTTGCCAAATAGCAAATCTGATCATAAGCCCTTAAAAATTTCTTTTAAATCAGTTCTTCAGCCAAACAGGAAACAAACATTTTAGTAATAACTACATCATTCATGACATCAAATTCCCTATCATTCAGCAGAGAAGTGTGATATCAGTTTGGTTCTATCCCTATCCTATGACTTGATTTATTCAGTCTTTCTTGGCTTTCTTCCTCAAATATTTGTAGTTTATAGTCTTAGAACTGATGAAAATGTTAACAAAAAAACTGGAGATACTTGAAATAAAATCATTATGATTTTACATTCAGAAAGACTGAATGAAGTAATGCCTCAAAGATTTCTGATCTGCTTCATGTTTACTTTTCTAGAAAGGAGAGAATACCTTACTTATTTTATCTCCTACTTATTGAGAGATATTTTAGACCCTTATTTGGAAAGGAATAAGGTAGAGAAGCTCTGTAAGAATATCTCAGAAAATAAATTAATGCTCTGTTTATAGCAGTGGAAGCAACTACCAGAGTACAGGAAGATCGACCTTCCATTCTGGCATACCTAATCTTAAAGGAATTTGAGCACTATTCAACAGATGAATTGCTATTTTGTCTCCTAAGCCTAATTTACCAAAAACAATCACCTTGGAAGGAAAAGAAAAACTAAATGACACCGTGATTTAGGAGGAAATCTGAACTTTAGGTTACACTTGTTTTTCAGTATTATCAATGCCACAATCCAAGTTTCTAGAATTATTGTTCTTAATGATGTTATCTTTTACCTATTTTGTTTTTTTTTAAACTCCATTAACACAGATCAGAAGTGAACTCACTAACCTAAGCTACTGAGGAAGGTAAACTGAATTCACTATGTTTTAACTACAGAACTAAAATTTAAAGTTTTGAAGTATTTCCTGTTTGAAGTGATTTCCTTTTACTTAGAAATTTGTTTCTGGCCACTTCACATTCAGAAAAAGACCTTTTTCTTTCCAGAGAAAAAGGTAAAAGCCTTACCACTAACATAACATTCAGCTATAAATAAGAAATGTCATTATATGGTTATATAATGAAAATCTGCAGTTTCCAGATAATAAAATATAAACCTTGTAACTCTTTAAATTGAAGTAGCTAGATCAGATGTGATCACAAATCTTTTCTTAGTTATTCAGGGATTGAAAGGGCATTATGAACTAATTTATCCTAATGACCTGGAAGTGGGACTCCATGTGTGCATATTTAGGTAAGCATTTTTCCTTAAGAAGGAGGTTTTATGGAATTCTGTCCTTTAAACATAAAACTTCTGTGATATGTCAAGATCTTTCCTGTTTCACTTAAGTATAAAATGTTATAAAAGATTGTGTGTCACAAGTAGGGGAGAGGTTGAATGGAGAGAGTGCTAATATATGGTACAAAATTGTTAAACATGTTTTAGTGGAAAGGGTTTATATTTGGCATTATTTCTCTTTACTCTATATATTCACCACTGGTTACTTCATAAATCCTACTAGTTGACATTGTGCATATGTGACCATTACAAAAATAATGTCATTGTACAAATGTTTAAAATGGGTAGAATTTTTTTTCCTGAGCTTGGTATTGTTCTGAAACTTAAACACAATAAAATTTAATGTCAAATATACAGCAAAGCCTCCATTTTATTGTTAGGTAATTTGCATAACCACTTCTAAGCAATTTAAATCATTCAGAAGACACTCTAGTGAAAGGAACACACAAGATATTTGGGTTTTATTTTATAATTTTTTTCCTAAAATTGTCTGTGTTCTACGCTTAGGATTCTAGTTTTCCAGGAAAATTAATGATCATTTTATTCATTCAAAAATATTTCGTACTTTATTGATAGAATTATACAGTTAGGGTGGAAGATAAAGCAACTTGTAGTTAACAAAATCCTATCTTTTGTGGGCAGGGAAAGCATTGTGAAGAATTACTGATCCTTACTCAATAGTGCTTTTTCTACTACCAGAAACACCAAAAATTACCATATTTTTAAAAGATGCCAACTCAGGTGATTCACTATTACATTTTAGTATGGCTGTTTGAGCTCTTCTGTTGTCACATCTGCATTACACTTTAAACTGCCATGAACAATAATAAATGCCTTTTAATTTTGTCAAAAACCTATACCCTTGGCCTTTGATGCCTGTTGTTTGGACTCCCAGTTTGATTTTCCAATTTCTAATCCTTTAATTACAGAACTGGACACATTACCTTCATTCCCTCTGTGGTTCCTTAGTGACTTTCTTTGGTAAACACTCCCACTCTGAACTATTTGACAGCCTCAACCTCATACTGCACCACATACTGGAATGAAACCTAAACAATGTTATGTCAATATTATCAATGCACCTAGGTCATGATAAATTTACTAATAAAAAATAATGGGATAATTCTGAAAAATAGTTGTATTGTATTTCAATTCTGAAAAATAGTTATATTGAAATAAGTTCTGAGAAATAGTTGCATTATACTTGAATTATTTTTAGATACCCATAGATAACTCCGTTATCTATATAAAAAAGAGTGCCACTGTGGTTTTCTCTTGTCTTTCTTTTTTTGAAATTCATTTTTCATTTGATTTGCAGTTCCAGATTCTCTCCCTCCCCCCAACTTTCCCCCAACCATGAGAAGGCAAGAAATACAAAACCCATTAAAAATATCAAGTCCTGGAAAACAAAGTTCCACATTAGCTGTATTCTGAAAAATAAAAAAGAAATTGAAATAGAAAAAAATATGCTTCAAACTGTACTCTGAATCCATGAGTTCTCTATCTGAAGGTAGATAGCATGAGTCCTTTGGAACTCTGATGGGTCATTGTGTTGATCAGAATTACTAAGTCTTTCACAATTTATAATCTTTATAATACTGTTGTTAATGTGTAAATTGTTCTGGTTCACACTTCATTTTGTATCAGTTCATACAAGTCTAACCAGGTCATTTTAAAACCATCCCCTTCATCATTTCCTATATCTCAATAATATTCCTTCACATTCATATAGCATGACTTCTTTGGCCATTCCTCAATTGATGAGCATCCCCTCAGTTTCCAATTCTTTGATACCATGAAAAGAGCTGTGATGAATGTTTTTTTTTTAAACATATAGGTCCTTTTCCTTTTATCTCTTTGGAGTATAAACAATATCTGTGGGTCAAAGAGTATACAGAGTTTAATAACTTTTGGGGCATAGTTCTAAATTGCTTCCAGAATGGTTTGACTAATTTACAGCTCCACCAACAGTGCATTAATATGCCTATATTTCTACATCTCTTATAGCTTTTGTCATTTTTCTTTTCTATCTTCTTAGCCAATCTGATGAGTGTGAAGTGGTACCTCAGAATTATTTTAATTTGCATTTCTCCATTTATTAGTCACTTAGAGCACTTTTTTATATGACTATTGACAGCTTTGATTTTTTCCTCTGAAGACTGCCTGTTCACATCTCTTGATCATTTATCCATTGAGGAATGGCTCTTATTCCTAGAAATTTGGCTCAGTTACATATATATATTTGAGAAACCTGACCTTTACTAGAGAAACTTGCTGCTAAGGTTTTTTTTGTCAGTTTCCTGCTTTTAATTTTAGCTACATTGGTTTTGTTTGTGCAAAAACTTTTCAATTTTCTGTGATTAAAATTGTTCATTTTTCCCCCCGTGAACCTCTCTCTATTTCTTGTTTGGTTATAAACTCTTCTCCTTTCCAGAGATCTGATTTCCTTCATGTTCTACTAATTTGTTTTATTACCCTTTCCATCTAAATCATGTACCCATTTCAAGCTTATTTTGGTATATGGTGTGAGAAGTCTCTGTCCTTTTGTAGTCTCAATAGCACACTACCTATATGCATATGCTCTGGAAACTCTTATTTTCCTCTTTTCAATAAACTCTTTATTACTTCAACGACTCTCTCACATGGGTTCATTCCAACCTAACATGTTTAGCTTTGGACATGTTGAATTGAAGATGTCTACAGGACATCCAGTTCAAGATGTCTAGTAGGCAGTTGGAAATTTGAGACTAGAGATCAACAGAGAGGTTAGATTTGAGAATCATTAGCATAGATATAACTGAATCCATGGCAACTGATGAAATCACCAAATAAATTACTATAGAGGAACCAGAGAAAAGGGTTCAGGATGGAACTCTGTGAAATATATATGGTTAGCAAGTGTGCCCTCAATGCAGATTTAGCAAAGGAGACTAAGGAGTAGTCAGAGAGAAGAACCAGGAGTGAGCTGTGTCACTAAAACCTAGAGAGAAAAAAGCATCACGGAGAAGAGGGTGATTGATAGTGTCAAAGGCTGCAGGAAGCAGGTTTCCTTTTAGGAAGTGGAAGATTGAGAAAAGGCCATTAGATTTGCACTTAAGAGATCATTACTGGTGGGGGTGGAGCCAAGAAGGCAGAGGGAAAGCAGTGACTTGCTTGAACTCTCCCCCAAACCCCTCCAAATACTTATAAAAAATGTCTCTAAACAAATTCTAAAGCAGCAGAACCCACAAAAAGACAGAGTGAAACAAATTTCCAGCCCAAGACAACCTGGATGGTTGATCAGAAAGGTATATTGCGCTAGGTGGGGAGAGGAGCGCAGTGCTGCATGGGCGTGTAGGCCCCAGCAACCCTGGAGCAGGCCTCAGAGGACTGAATCACAGGCAGCTGTGGCGGTTTCCAGACTTCTCAACCCATGAACTCCAAAGACAACTTAGAAGGTCAGTGGGAAAAGTCTGTGACTGCAGTGAGAGAAGGAGCTAGGCTTCAACCGTAAGTCCTGAGCACGGGCTGCGGCTGCCTCCTGAGGTTCTGGCCCACAGACTGAGGAGGAATCGAGTGGCTGATCAGAGGGGGATTGCAGAGATCTCTTTGCTAGTGCTGAGGCAGGAATCTCTTGCTTTGCCTGTGCTTGGATCTGGGTCACAGTTCTGAGGGGCGGTCCTGGGGTGAGGAGGAGTGCTGGCCTGGTGGAGCTTGTTGTGGCAGTGGAGAGAAAACACCTCACCCTTATTGTAGCACCTTGGAAGAACTGAAAATTTACAGGTCCCTAGAAGTATCTCTGAAAACAGCTGTACAAACCCCTGAAGCTTGGGACAGTACATTCTCCACATTGGAAGCAGACTCTTACCTTAACAAAGAATTTAAAACTCAAGTAATTGGCTGGGATCATGAACAAACCTCGCAAAAAGAGTCAGACTATATTATCTTACTTTGATGATAAAGAAGATCAAAACATACAACCAGAAGAAGACAACAAAGTCAAAGCTCCTACATCCAAAGCCTCCAAGAAAAATATGAATCAGTCCCAGTCCTAGGAAGAGCTCAAAAGGGATTTTGAGAAGCAAGTAAGAGAAGTAGAGGAAAAACTGCAAAGAGAAATGAGAGTGATGCAAGAAAAATCATGAAAAACAAGTCAACAGATTGCTAAAGGAGACCCAAAAAAATACTGAAGAAAATAACACCTTAAAAAATAGCCTAACCCAAATGGCAAAAGAGGTCCAAAAAGCCAATGAGGAGAAGAATGCCCTAAAAAGCAAAATTGGCCAAATGGAAAAGGAAGTCCAAAAGCTTACTGAAGAAAATACTTCCTTAAAAATTAGAATAGAGCAATTGGAAGCTAGTGACTTTATGAGAAATCAAGACACTGTAAACAAATCCAAAAGAATGAAAAATTAGAAAACAATGTGAAATATCTCACTGGAAAAACAACTGACCTGGAAAACAGATCCAGGAGAGAGAATTTAAAAATTATTGGACTATCTGAAAGCCATAATCAAAAAAAGAGCCTAGACATCATCTTTCAAGAAATTATTAAGGAAAACTGCCCTGATATTTTAGAACCAGAGGGCAAAACAGAAATAGAAAGAATCCACCGATCTCCTCCTGAAAGAGATCCCCAAAGGAAAACTCCTAGGAATATTGTAGCCAAATTCCAGAGTTCCCAGGTCAAGGAGAAAATATTGCAAGCAGCCAGAAAGAAACAATTCAAATATTGTGGAAACACAATCAGGATAACACAAGATTTAGCAGCTTCTACAGTAAGGGACCACAGGGCACGGAATATAATATTCCGAAGGGCAAAGGAGATAGGATTACAACCAAGAATCACCTACCCAGCAAAACTGAGTATAATCCTTCAGGGGAAAAAATGGTCATTCAGTGAAATAGAGGACTTTCAAGCATTCTTGATGAAAAGACCAGAGCTGAATAGAAAATTTACTTTTAAATACAAGATTCAAGTGGAACATGAAGAGGGAAAGAGAAATCATAAGAGACTTATTAAGGTTGAACTGTTTACACTCCTGCATGGAAAGATGATATTTGTAACTCATGAAACCTTTGTCAGTATTAGGGTAGTTGGAGGGAAAGAATTATATGTATGTATAGATAGATAGATAGATAGAGGGCACAGGGTGAGTTGAAGATGAAGGGGTCATGTCTGGAGAATAAAATTAAGGGGTGAGAGGATCATAGTAGGAGAAGGAGAAAGGGAGAAGTAGAATGGGGTAAATTATCTCACAAAAAAAAACAGAAAAGAAAAAGATCTTACAGTGGAGGGGGAACAGGGGAAGGTGAGAGGGAATGAGTGAATCTTATTCTCATAGGA